TCTTATACACTATAAGATTTATTTAGTTTTATGCTAAATTTTACGTAAGTTTATGATTTTCTTACGCACCGTAAAAACTTACAAAAGTTTATACATATATATTTTTGCTGATGTAGAACCCAGCATCATATGCAAGCTCTGTTAACTCCTATTCCTATAACCACCCTTTCTATAAGATTGAATTGGATTTTGTTAGTTTCCTACCTTATACACCTCAATTGAATCAGTACATTTTGGTTGCAACTAATTACATGACCTGTTGGCTTAAGGCATGAGCTATGAAAAGGCAAATGCACAAACCATTGCTGAGTTCTTCTATAATAACATAATTTGTAGATATGGGTGCCCTACTCACATTCAATTTAACCATGGGACTCACTTTAAAATAAAGTGAAAAAGCTGCTCTTGAAGAAATTAAAGATCCACTAGCAATTTTCAACTTTGTATTACCCTTGTACAAATAGCCTTGTTGAATTTTCAACAAAACATTGTATGAAGCTATTGGAAAGTTGGTTAAGTATATTGTTAATTGGGATTTGTTAACCTCTTTGATCTTATTTATATACTAGATAGCTCAGAATACTATACTCATATAATTCCATTTTATCATGTCTATAGTCGTGAGGCAAGACAACTAATCCACTCAAGTTATTCAGAAGATTTATTGGAAGGAGCTATCTTGCAATGGACTTTTAAATTAATAAATAAACTTTCTATCATTCAAAATCAAACTGTGAAATAAGTAAAAGAAAAACAAAAAGCTGTAAAGCCTATTATGATTAAAAGCACCAGGTAAACTTCAAATTTGATATAGAAAAAAGGTTCTTCTAAAAAATGCTAAAAAAAAGTACTTTTGAAGCAACAAGTTTGCCTTGGCCCTTATTACATACATGATAAACTCTTCAACAATGCCTATAAGTTGAAAACTTTGGAAAGAAGTGTAATTTCAACCTCTTTAACCTGGAGTTGTTAAAAAAGTATCATGAATCTTGTGAGCCCACTAGTGAGTCTGGAGATATGTTGTCTTAATAAAATTAAAGAAGTAGGTTCTAGGGTAAAAAGGTCAATTATGACAGTTGTATATGGGGTTAAGGAGCATATAGCAAAGAAAACCTTCATGAGAATATGGATGCAAATTTTAAAGGAATCTTTGAGTTTTTTTGGGGGTGTGATTGTTGTCTTTTTTTGGGTTTAGATAGAGTTGTTAAATGGAGTAGATCACTCTGAAGTAGCTCTGGTTTAACTCCAAACCAACATAAAATAGATTAAATCTAATAAACTGATAAACCAGATTATTAAACTATGCTAATAAACAGAGTAAACCAGTTTATTAATCTAGTTTAATAATCTAGATTATTAACCAATTTATTAAAGCAATTTATTACATATCGATATATATATATTTTATAGAATAGCATAGTTAAAAATGGCATAGACATTATATAAATATTATATATTAAATGACATGTATACAGAAACTTTGAATTTTTTAATACACAGCAACTGCATAGTAACTATATAGTTACAAATAAATTTAATAGTAATTATATAATTACTATATTAAAACTCTTTCTGTCGATCACCTAAACCAAATTTTACGCTAACAAAAAAAAACTAAAAGAAAATCTGTTAGAGAGTTGAGTAGACTATAGTAGCAGTTTAAGGTTAAATATAGGTCAACTTTGTTTTAGGTGACTCCTTGTCTCATTCAGCATGCAAGCTAGAAGCTTTGTTAAGAGGAAAATGCAGGTGGCACTCTTGGCTAGTAAAAATTTTGGTGGACTACAAAAGCTCCGTCGATAAAGCTACATAGACTACAGCTCTGAGAGAACTTTAGTAGTAGTTTTTAGAAAAGGTCAACTAAGTTACTACAGAAACTCCTCTCTATGTTCGGCATGCAAGCCAGAAGCAAACATACAAAGGAGGAAAAGGCAGGTGGTACTCTCTCTGTATATAAATTTTGGTAGACCAAGAAAAAGTGTCTGTCGAGAAACTACAAAGTTTATCCTTGGAGTCCAGGGTACAACAGATACTTTACTTTTTTTTTTTTTTTAATACACTCTCTCAAAATTTGGCTTTCCTGCACCTATCTCCTACTCGTTGTCATTTTTTTTACAAACTTTTTTGAAAAAACTGGTGATTTGGCTACCTCCCTCCAAACGATTGACATTGATTACCACTTCCATTTTTAGAAGTTGCCGTTGTGATGTGGCAAATTAGGAAAACAACAAACACATGCAGAGCATGTAGTGATTTCTATTATTGGATTTAATATGTGAAAGGGTTTTCGGTCATTTTTTAGTGTACTTTTATTAGTATCATGTGAGATATACGTTATCTCAAAGTCATATGTATAATATTTTTTTAACCTGGCACAGGTTATAATAGTGCTCTTGCCATTTTTGGTTCTTCTTTTTTTATTCTGTCTTTTTTTTTCTTTCTTTATAGGGTTTTTATGTAGTTTTTTTTGTGATATTCACTTTGTTATTTCCTTTTTTTGGTTTTAAACTTCCTTTTTTTTCTTTAATCTTGAAGTTTTTTCGTTAAGTAGTTAAAAGTTTTTCTTTCTACTTGGGAAGTTAGGAGGAGAAGATTTAGGGTTTAAAAGGAGGAGGCAATCTTGATAGCTGTAAATGCCGCTCAGTGATATATTAGATTTCTTCATTTGCAAGAGGATTTAGTATTAAGAGAAAATTTTTACTATAGCAAATCACACATGGGTAATTTGGACTTTTGTCACGTAAGACTGTTGTTACAAAGAGCCAGGTGAGTCAATACTTGTAAATTAGGAGTAACATGTTAGCCTAGTGTTAAAGTTAGCACATGCATAAAATAGATATGAAATAGATATATGAGATTTATACCTAATAAAGTATTGGCAAGATTGCTGAATGTTAAAAAAAATATATATATAATTACTATATTGTTACTATGCAGTTACAGTATATTAAAACATTTAAGTTTTTGTAAAGTAGTCTATTAATTATATATTTAATTAGTAATATTACATATTACTTTATCTGTCAAAAAAAGTTATATTTGAATATTATTAAATGGATTTTAAAAAATAGTACACCTGCACCATGGTGCACCTCTAGCTATATCTCAAAATTTTACTAGGATAACTCCTGTTGTGCAATTAACAAAAAATATTTGTTATACAATTTTATCTAACCCTAACCCTAACCCTAACCCTAACCCTAACTAATTATAACTTTACTTAAAATTTGCTATATCTCAAAATTTTACTAGAGTAACCCCTGTTGCATAACTAAATAAAAATGCTCCTCTTGCAATTTTACCTAACCCTAACCTAAACCCTAACCCTAACCCTAACTTTAACTAATCTTAACTTAAAAACTTGCTATAGGGGTGCATCAAAATATAAATTTCTTATTAAATTATCTAGTTATTTAGATAATTTATTATAGCTATATAATAAATTTTCTACTTAAATACAATCTCTAGATCAATGAAAAATTACAGACTGGAGTTAATTCTAAAAAAATTTGAGTTAGTTGTTGACTAGGCTATTCTTATTTGCTAGTATAATTTTTTTTGATTAGAATTAGCTTTTGTATTTAGATCAAATATGTAAAAAGCTATTAGATATTCTTGATTAAATTTTATTGGTATTAAATTATTTGGTTTTTATTTTTTTTTTGCTTTGGAGAATCATCTATTTAACAAATTTGCAAACAAATTTTTGATCAGATTTGTTTTCATAATTGTTTAAAATTCTAAAGAACTAAATGCTAATAATTCAATAGTACCAGATCTTAATATTTAAAATTCTAAAGAAAAAAATTTGATAATTTATTAATAAGAAAACTAAATTCTGAAAAAAAAATCATGAGTACCACAATTTTATAAATACATTATTCCAAGTATAATAATCTTGAATAATAGTATTAGCAATATTATAGTTATTTTGGTTTAGCACAAATTCTAGAGTATAAACTAGAGTATTGCTTTGAAGTATTGCTTTGGTTTATTGCTCTGGAGTATTGATCTGGAGTATTGCTCTGGAGTATAAAACTAGAGTATAAAACTGGAGTATAAACTGGAGTATAAAACTAGAATATAAAACTGGAGTATAAACTGGAGTATAAGCTAGAATAATTAAACCAGTTTGGTTTGGTTTTATATTTACTCCACTGGTTTATAACCCAAACCAAACCAAACCACTACATTAACAACTCTAGGTTTAGGCATTAGATTAGTGCTTTAATAAAGCTCAAATAAGATAGATTGACTTATATCTGTTATACAAAACTGAAGACCTAGTTTGATTTTTCATGAGATGTGAGAAAATAAGAAGGAGTGAATTGTTGAAGGTAAAATCAACAGTTTCTGCAGCATATCACAGGACCAAAAACCATGCTAAAATCCTAACTCAAAGTCTACCTATAAAATCAGTAAAAAATTAAAAGAAATATATTTTTCTATAAAGCCTCTAAATAAACTAAGCCTAAAACAGCCCCAGGAGTATAAAGAATTAAAATAAATCACAAAAGTACCAAAAAGATGCTATGATTGCATTTATAATTTGATTAGTATTTAGAAGGTCCCAGAACTATGGAATAGTGAACTCTCAGATGAGGTATAAGGAGAAAACCCATGAATGACCACCTGGCTCAAAACAGAGCCAAACATCGTCCAAAAAGAATAAATGAGGTGGTGATTTTGCTGGGTAAAGTAAACAAAAATATATTTGATTCTCATAAATATCAATCTATTTAGATTAGACAATTATCTTGATATATGCAAGGGTTGATAATATCAAAATAGTTTTTATATACTTCGAGTCTATTTTGTCTTAATAAGAGGTTGATATTAACAGAGATCAAGTGTAGTAGCAAATCAAATAAATCATTTGGCTGTGTAAAACAAATATTTACATATGCATAAGTAAGGACCTAACAATCCAAAAATTGCTAATGAATTACTATTGATAATATAATAAGAAGTTATAATTCTTTTCTTCTTTTATTTTATTATTTATCAAATTTTTTGTATAAATAGCCTTGCAGTTCACTCTAGTAGAAGAGCAGTGCAGTTCGAATAAAATATAATAAAAAAATTTGATTCTAAATAAATAAAAACTTTGACACTTTTGGTAGTCCTAAAAGTCCTTCGTTTCCATGTTAACAACTCAACCCTAAAGCCTTTTTCTCACCAAATCTTAACCTTCTCACTATTGTTAGTTTGTTGTGTAGTTTTTGTTGGTTTTCTGTTTTTCAGTAGTGACTATCTAGACCTGTGCATATCTAGTTTTACTACTAACAATACACTCAAGCATTAAAATTGAGGAATAACATATAAGAGCCCAAAAAATGAAAATAATTATATATAAAAAGGACAAAATAAAATAATTAAATATTAAGAAGCCAAATTTATCAATCTATGTTTTTAACATTAGATTTATTTTCCTTTGATAGGTTAAACATATTACCTTTTTAATCATTTATTTTCTTAGCATCTTGCATGTAAAAATTATAACTATTTTTGTCAATTCTAAAAGTTTAATTTATGAATACAAATGAATTTATCAGTTCTAAATATCTTCAAATAATGCATAGTAACATTTGCAAAACATGAT